TATATATATATATATATATATATATATATAATATGTTATTCATATATGAAATATATTTGAGTTTATTTATAAGAATGTATCATCTAATAAGAAAATATTCTTCTTGATCAAAAGGTAACAAGTTAATGTATATTATTTTTTTATATTAATTTTTAATATTAATATACTTTATATTTACTATTATCATCAATTTTTTATTATATAAATAATTATATATTAGATCACTCAATTTATTGCATGATATCAAATCTAGTTAGTATTCAAGATCATAATGGGAAAGGGAAAAAATAACTTAATTGGTGAATTACAAACACGTTTAATATTAATATACTTTATATTTACTATTATCATCAATTTTTAATTATATAAATAATTATATATTAGATCACTCAATTTATTGCATGATATCAAATCTAGTTAGTATTCAAGATCATAATGGGAAAGGGAAAAAATAACTTAATTGGTGAATTACAAATACGAAGTTCCTATTTGGCTTTAATAACTGCTATTTGTTTAAATTACGCAATTGTTTGAAATATAAATTGCACACAAACCATTGCACACAACAATTCCCTCTATACCCGAGGGCATGAGTGGCAAGCCATAGGGAGTGGATGTTAGTACGGTCGGTTGTCGAATGGGTCTATAGGTGCCCGTAGACCGTTGTCGGAAAGCATCACTCAAGGTGATAACCATGAACTCAAGTCCGACAGTGCGTTGGAACTTTCCATCGACTTACGACGAGAGGAATTGGGTCCCTATAATGGGGGCACCTTGGGGGCCTCAGACCGGTGAGAACAGTTAGAACCACCTTGAATATGCACTTTTCTGCAGGATACCCCTACCTCGTGATTCGCTCGTGACTGTTCGTGGATGAGTGAATTGTTTGTGCATTGATTATGTGAAATTGTTTGAGCATACATTTGCATTCTTTAAACACACAACATTTCTATTAAAATAATAATAAATAGAAATAAGAACCTTCCATTACATGGTGTTAACATCTACCTTCATCACATTCATATAGGTAGTTTCACTTTTCACCCAAAAAAAAACAAAACATTTGAAAAACAAGAAAAATATATATTTATCCCAAACCAAAGCAATATCATGCATCATCTTAGGAAATCCCGAAAACATGATAATGCTTAGGTAAATAAACACTATGCATGCATATTCATCGCCATCATCTCATATCATGCATTTTATTGTAGATCATGGAGGGATCTAGGGGAAGGCAAGGGCAATTGAAGAAAGTGGACTTCTTATTATACCGTGCCGAGAGGTTGGATCACCTCTGTACTTTGAGGCCACGAGAGGCTCGTTTGGAGTTCGAAAAATCCTATGGACGAGTTCTCGACTTGATGAAGATCTGTGTGGATCCAGCTTTTCTGAGAGCCTTGGTCCACTTTTGGAGTCTCGATCTGCATTGTTTCGAGTTTCCCCAGTTTGACTTAGTTCCTACTCTCGAGGAGTACGAACTCATGCTTCGATGGCCCAAATCAGCAGGGGTCTATATTTTCCATGGAAATCATGTGGCCGTAGAGAGGGTCGCAACTCAAGTCAAACTGCCATCACGATCATCCGCTTTAGTGGGGAACGGCAGTATTAAGGGTTGGAAGCTTGCTATGATTGAAGACCACCTTTCTTCCTTGGCTGGTGAGGGAGATTGGTTAGCTTTCAACAAGACTCTAGCGTTAGCCGTGTTTGGGACGATCTTATTCCCCTTTCACGCTAACACAGTGGACCATGCTGCTATGGACGCCTTCTTCG